TTGGGTTCCAGAGGAGTATCGTTTTAAGTGTTTTTCACAAAATGCAAAATGGCGGAAAATCCATCATGCTGGACCTTATGGGTCTCTGAGGCAAATTTGTTCCTTGTGAGGAGAAGGACCTATGTACCGAGTTTCATGTCTTTAGGTAAAACGTGACCTTTCAAATGTTGCATTTTCAATCGCTTGTTATAGCGCCACCATCTGGCCAATCAATGTAATTTTGTAAATGCCGGATCTCTATGGCAAGACGCAACATTCACCCAAGTTTAATCAAAATCGCTGTCTTGAGATATCGCGTGTGATGAACGTACGAACATACTAACGGATGGAGACAGATCCACAGTCCCCTCCCAATTTCATCGTGGGGGACAATGATATCAGTAGATAATGTATATGAGGCTAACCATAAGCGAGATTTTGTACATGATTTTTCTGACATATGAAGTTGTTTAGTGCAAATCCAACCCTTATTCTAGGTACATTACTGTACATGAAAATAAGGAGCTCACTAGGCTAATTCAAATGTCAAAAAGGAAAATAATGGGGCGCATTCATGTGCATTTTATATCGGCCTATGTATTTTACAGGAAGTGAGCTATAATAATCAACGTCATGACACCGGTATAATGAAAGAGCCATAACTAAGCTAAAATATATGAAGATCATAATGTTAAAATACCATAATCCAATTGCTAGCATATTACATAGTAAATTAAAGTGTTTAATTTACAATGTTATAATGTGTGTTACTGGTGAATTCTATACTTTGGTGGGCAAATTTCACAATTTCATTTAGTCGACACATTCACAAATGGTGGCTTTGATCATCGTTTTGAAGTTTAGGATTAGGTTGATTGAGGTTCATAGCTAGCTAGCAGCACAAGCAAACATTGTGCAAATCTCTCTTCACCCACCATCAACACAAACAATCTCTGCAATCCTCCTCCATGCCATTGACCTTCTGATTTTGTCTCTGTATTCTAGCAAAACGACATCATATAGAATTGGAAAACCAGACACAGCGATGATTGGCTTTCCTCAATATTTTTGGGGGTTTTACTAGCCCGGAACAAATGACAAGCGGAACTACAGTATGTTTCATGAACGGAAGATTTTAAAGCAAACATCTGCTCCTCACTTGATTGGTTAACGGCAGTGGTGGCCGCGTGACATTTGCATAAAGTTGAGCAGAGCTGAACTATTTCTACTGCTCCGCTAGCAGTATTCTTGCTGCTCACCTTCACACCATCCCTTGCACATTTCTCTGCGTGACCTCATTGAAAATGAATGATGCCACGTCTGGTGAAAATCCTATGTAACGCAGTTCCACCTCCGCTATGCGGATGTCGGCTACAGCGAATCTGATTGAATACCCACTGGGCACAGATGTAAATTCAACGTCTACTGATTCAACCAGTGTAATCCCAGTTGGTAGAGCCTATTTTCTGTCATTACGACAAAAAATTATAATAATTATGTTAAGCCTGTGTTGACATGTTAACATTTGAAGAATGAGAGCGATGGGGTCATGGAATACTGCAGGGGCACAACTTTCTCTGGGGACAGGGGGGACATGTCCCCACCACATTCTGAAATTGCATTTTTGTCCCCCCCCCCAGTTTTATCATTGGAATGTGATACAAGACGAGGCAACAGTGTGCTTTAGGACAATGCGGACGCCTCCGAGCAGTCGGGTAGGCTGTTTGGAGTGTTAATCCGACTGGATACAAAAAAATTAAAATGCCCCCCCCCACTTCAAAAACCAAAATTGCGCCCCTGGAATACTGTACACATAATACTCTGTCAAATAAAAACTCAACCATTTGAAGAAAGGGGAATAAAAGGTGAAGAACTGGAGAGATTATTCAATGTTTATTTATTTATTCAAACCTTAGTAGCCTGCACATAAACTCAGTGTTTTGACCTGAAGCCTTTGCAAAGGGTGCTTTGGACAGGATGTATTTATTCAAACCCAGTGGCGGCTCCTGAAAAAATTCTCAGGAGGGGCAATTTTTCTGATGATTTAGGTGACCTACACACATTTAAAAAAAGATATGTCCAGCAACAACATGAAGACAGGGGCAGCATATAAGTCAATACCAGAAGCATTTATTGACTGATCTCAAAAGTGTTGGCTTACCAGGGTTGGTGGAGCCCTCAGTTTCATCTTTGCCTCGCAAAGCTAACTCAAACACTCCGCAAAACTTCACACACTGGATTAGCCGGCTGAGGATGTGGCGGTTCTTGCTAATGTCGTAGTAAATATATTTGTTATAGTGAATATGGAATATGATATGTTGAGTAAAATGTTGTGCTAAGATCTATTTAGGTCAGGAGCTGGTTATAAGTTCTGTTCCTATCCAATAACAATGGACAAAAGGGTCCTATCTTGTCAGCCTTGTCAGCAGGTGGCCAAGGACAACACCCACGCCATAGGCATCTCAGTTCTTCCAACTCACGAGTTCTTGCTCTGAGGACACACACACACACAAACACACACACACACACATCATCACTGTTAAACACACACACACACACACACACATCATCACTGTTAAACACACACACACACACACACACACAAAAATCCCCTCTCTTAGGCTGAACATTTGAAGACAGAGAACCCGACTCAGAGCCAATGCAACAGTGACAGTAGCCTGCAGGGGACCTCGCCCAACTCATCAGGACCAATCAGAAGATCAGAACTACTAGATTGAACCTACTTCATTTATTGCATAAAATGTCTGCACACAATGTTTCGGGGCTCTCTTCAGATAATAATAATAATAATAATAATAATAATAATATGCCATTTAGCAGACGCTTTTATCCAAAGCGACTTACAGTCATGCGTGCATACATTTTTGTGTATGGGTGGTCCCGGGGATCGAACCCACTACCTTGGCGTTACAAGCACCATGCTCTACCAGCTGAGCTACAGAAAGTGGATACTCATGGATGCGCATTGCAATTGTAAAATGTCAACACAATTGGAGACACCACGTCATTTTTGGAGACATGTTATTGACAGTAAACTATTGTAGATGCGACTGCTAACTAAATAAAACATTTTAGCTGGCTAGCTAATCATCTTAGCTAAATGTGGGGCAAACAATTCAGTTATTTACCGTTAATTTGAGGGATTGGGATGAAAGAAATCGAGTTACATAGTGATACTTTACGATATACTGTATTGACAATATCGCAATATTTTAGCGCTAGTTGGCTGTACCTGCACCAAAACACCATTATTGTTCCTTCATAGCTTGTTCTCAATCTTTTCACATTGGGAGCCAATTTGTTTTCAGCACTTTTATTTCCATGACTGATCAAAACTCGTTCTCATGGCTTTCTGATCCCTCTGCAACAGACATATGGTGCGCAATAAAATCACAGTATCGAATCGCAATACGTATAGAATCATGAGACTCGCAATGCTGATGCATATATCTTATCGTGAGGTTCCTGGCAATTCCCAGCCCAAGTTCATTTGCCACAACAAATCTCTTCGCTAGCAAACGCGATGTCTTCTCCAAAACGGCAATGTGTCTCCAGCAATGTTTACTTTTTTGACGTTCTATGGCATCTCCAATTTCCAAGCATATATGACCACATGTAATATTTTGGTAAGTGATGCAAATAGTGAACTATGTAGGGCCAGGATGTAAAATATATGTAGCTGCAGCAATTTCTCTTATCTGATATGGTAAGTAATGGGGCTTAATTTATAGCTCCCTAAGAGTTTGACGAACGGGTCCGTGAACGCGATTCCAGATATATTTACCTCTGAATAAACTGCCTTTATTACACCATATCCACATCCAGTAAACTTGTGATTATCAACACTAACCTCATCGTTGTGGCGGCGGACAGCTAGCCTGTATCCCTCGTCATCCAGTTGAGTGAGTGGCAATGTCTTTTTTCGTTCGTACCAATTTTTGGAAAATCCTCGGGTGTAGGACTTTCCGCCTTTAGTAGAAACCTGTTGAATTATTAAATTTGGTCTGGGAGGTCCTAATTGTTTCGTTGCCAATTTATCTTCATTTGTTCGCCGACAAAAAGGAACTTCTTTCAAACAATCCACTCTTTTCTCAGTTACGTTCATGGTTACGTAACGTATGACGAAAGCGCGTAAGTGCAAGCCCACAGACACCCATTGAGATTGTATTGAAGAAATAGATTTTACATGGGAGTCTATGACAGAAGTTCTGGGCGATTTTCAATCTGACTGAAATCGCCCCAAAAGGGGGTGGAGCCATTTGAAGCACGACTTTAGCCTGATTCGACATTTAGTAGCAGTGTGGCACTGTGGCAGATCAGACGTATAGATTACAACACTGATAACTACTGTTGCCGTGATATAATTGATTAGAAAAAAAATCCCTTCCTTTTCCCGTTTGGCAGTGCGTCGCCCATATCGCCCTATTGAACAGGCCGTCCCTGTTCAAACCTTAGTAGCCTGCATATAAACCCAGCGTTTTGACCTGAAGCCTTTGCAAAGGGTGCTTTGGACAGGATTTGTTTATTCAAACCTTTGCTCAAACATTTTATTGAACACACACAAAAATGGTGTATAGGTACTTTGTAGAAAAGACAAGTATGCAATTCTTATTTTATTTATTCAAACCTTAGTAGCCTGCACATAAACCCAGCGTTTTGACCTGAAGCCTTTGCAAAGGGTGCTTTGGACAGGACAAGTCAGATGTGGAATAAGTTCTCAAGTGTAATAACTGTATCATAACCAATTAATTAGGTTACAATAAACTATCATCCTGACTTGACGGTGGCCTACATCTGTAAAACCTGTCAACTTCACGAAAGCTTTAGTTTATGGTTAACTATGCATTCCTCTTAGGCTTTTACCTGAGAGCTGTATCCTCTCATATAAGGTTTGTCTCTCAGCCTTGTCTTATAGACTAGACGGAACATAGTAAACGTAAACTATGTTATGTCTACCCCAGGTTATGTCACTAGGTAGATGGCTGGTATCGCTTGAAAGCATGTGTGAGGTTTTGAATGTTTCCGAATGCCAATTCTTATTGTGTAATGATGACTGACTCTCTTCAGTGGATCAACAACTTATTGTAACATTGCATTGTTTAATCATCTTCTGAGAAGTGGACATGTTCTCCTCTCTGACTGTCCACTGGGCTGTGTGTCCTCAGGCACGGGGGAGAGTGGGAAAACCACCTTCATCAGACAGATGAGGATCATCCATGGAAGAGGCTTCTCTGAGGAGGAAAGACGGGACTTCGCCAAGCTCATCTACCAGAACATCTTCACGGCTGTGAAGGCAATGACCCGGGCCATGAACACCCTCAGACTGCCCTATGCCTACCCAGAGAATGAGGTCAGGGTCTGGTTACATACTGTACATACTGTTCAATCAAACTGGCCTAACCATGAGTGAAAGGCACCCTCTGTAGGGTCTATTTACCAAAACAAAACACATTATACACATGTCGTTTCTGTGTTTTTGATTTGTAAGGCTTTCACAGATTTTTCTTTGACCCTGTGGGTCAGACATTTGCACCAATTAAAGCCCCTCTATCTGCCCTCAGATGTATGACAGGTGGATGCAGGATGTGGACACAGTGCAGGTCACCCAGCTGGACAGAGGCTATGTGGATGCCATCCACCGTCTCTGGGCCGACCCAGGCCTCCGGGTCTGCTACAGCCGCCGCAGCGAGTACCAGCTGCTGGACTCCACAGAGTAGTGAGTACCACCAGTCTCTCTCTGGCTCTCTGTCTTTATCTCTCTCTGTCTCTCTCTCTGTGGGACATATTTACTAAGCATTTGCCCCAAGTGCAATATTTGCTAAATTTGCACCTGTTTTTTTCAGTAGAGGATGAAAAACGATAAAGTAGACGTAGATGGTTTTTGTTTCCTTGGTAAAATGTACCTATGTAAATACAAAATGTTATATTTAATAATCCCAATTAATGAAAAAATACGATTGTTTAATTCACAAAACTGTGTCCCCATTGTACAGCACTGTACATTGTACACTGTCCTTATCAACTGCAAAGTCCATGATGTCCATTGGAGGGGGCTAGTTCTCCACAAATAAATACATAACCAGACCTCAGCCATGTTATAAACACATATACACAAACAGCCATCTTGTCAGGCACCATTTGATTTGATGTTATAAATCAAATCAATTAGCAGAGAGAACAGTCTACGGCTTGGGTGGCTGGAGTCTTTGACAATTTTTTGGGCCTTCCTCTGACACCGCCTGGTATAGAGGTCCTGGATGGCAGGGAGCTCGTGAGCTCGTCCCCAGTGATGTACTGGGCCGTACTCACCAGCCTCTGTAGCACCTTTTGGTCTGGTGCCTTGCAGTTGCCGTACCAAGCGGTGATGCAGCCAGTCAAGATGCTCTCAATGGTGCAGCTTTATAACTTTTTGAGGATCTGAGGGCCCATGCCAAATCTTTTCAGCCTCCCAAGGGAGAAGAGGCGTTGTCGTGCCCTCTTCACAACTGTGTAGGTGTGTGTGGACCATGTTAATTCCTTAGTGATGTGAACACCGAGGAACTTGAAGCTCTCAACCCACTCCACTACAGCCCTATCGATGTGGATGGGGGCGTGCTCATCCCTCCTATTCCTGTAGCTCAATTCATTCTGCACTACTCAATTTGTGTTGATTGTTGTTGTATGTAACATACAGTTGATATTACATGTCTTATGTATAGAATGAACTTGCTACTGCCATTGTCATTACCTTGGGAAAGATAATTGTATCACATTTGTTACGTGTTCGCTGTCTTTCTTTGTCTTTGTCTGTTTCTGTACTTTTCAGCTACATGACCAATCTGGACCGCATATCTGCCCCAGACTACATCCCCACTGATCAGGACGTACTGCGGGTTCGATTCCCCACCACTGGCATCCATGACTACTCCTTCACTGTGAAGACCATCACACTCAGGTGGCCAAACCCTCACTCAGATCGCTCACCTTGGACTCACCCAGACGTCAAGGGAAATAATAGAACACTAGAGCTGCACTTGTCTCCCGAGTGGCGCAGTGGTCTAAGGCACTGCATCGCAGTGCTAGCTGTGCCACTAGAGATCCTGGTTCGAATCCAGGCTCTGTCGTAGCCGGCCGCGACCGGGAGACCCATGGGGCGGCGCATAATTGGCCCTGCGTCGTCCAGGGTAGGGGAGGGAATGGCCGGCAGGGATGTAGCTCAGTTGGTAGGGCATGGCGTTTGCAACGCCAGGGTTGTGGGTTCAATTCCCAAGGGGGGCCAGTATGAAAAATACAAAAAAAAATAATGTATGCACTAACTGTAAGTCGCTCTGGATAAGAGCGTCTGAAAAAAAATAAAAATAATAATAGATCGTGGACCACACTATAGGCTATCTTTGATATTGTCTGACTCTACCCTTGGCTGCTTTGGACACAGTGGAATTACAAGCACATACAATCACATTTGGCATTATACAGAAAACTTGCTGAAAACACACTAATTTATTTGTATGTTTTTGAACATGGCGATGTCATTGTTTTTTCAGAGACCTTTGTATTATTAATATGAAAGGTCCAGCTGTGTTCAGGTGTGGTGTTTTTCACCACCCCTGTTGTGAAAGGTTCAACTGTAATTTGTCTCTGTAATCAGGCAGGCAGGATACAGTGGGGTAGAAATGGAAAGGTATCAATTATGGCATTTTTAGAGCCAGATGCTCTATGAGGCTCATTTGAATGAGGACTAGGAAACTGTGAAAAACAGGTTTGATGTGTGACAGCAGGAGAGAGAAGAAAGGAGTCTCGGTATACACAGGAGGATATGCCTCTCAGCCTTTCTCACAGTGTTAACTACACCTCAGACACTTCTAGCTCATTAACAACTCTGACCAGCTGCCTCGCCAAGACAAGGCCCCTGCCATGCGTGGCATCACAAACACCTTATTGATAAAGGGCACAATGGTGTGTGTGAGTGTGTTGAAAGATGCTCTAATAGGTGTTCTCATCTCTCTTCGGGTAGGATTGTGGATGTGGGTGGACAGAAGTCAGAGAGGCGGAAGTGGATCCATTGTTTTCAGGACGTCACATCCCTCATTTTCCTGGCTTCCCTCAGCGAGTACGACCAGGTCCTGGAGGAGAGAGAGACTAATGTGAGTACCTGTCTGTCTGTCTGCCTGCCTGTCTGACTGTCTCGGCCTGCCTGTCTGGCTGCCTGTCTCTGCCTGTCTGGCTATATGTCTGACTGGCTGGCTGCCTGCCTGCCAGCCTGCCTGCCTTCCTGTCTGTCTATCTGTCTGTCCTCTGTGTCGTGCTGCTGCTCCAGTTTCAACTCTTCTGCCTGCGGCAATGGAACCCTGACCTGTTCACCGGATGTGCTACCTTGTCCCAGACCTGCTGTTTTCAACTCTCTCTCTCTACCACACCTGCTATTTCAACCTCTAAATGCCCGGCTATGAAAAGCCAAGTGACATTTACTCCTGATGTTGCGACAGGTCAGTACCTCTACAACCACTGTGATTATTATTTGACCCTGCTGGTCATCTATGAACGTTTGAACATCTTGGAGAAAAATCTGTCCTTAATGGCCATGTACTGTTATAATCTCCACCCGGCACAGCCAGAAGGGGACTGGCCACCCCTCAAAGCCTGGTTCCTCTCTAGGTTTCTTCCTAGGTTTCTGCCTTTCTAGGGAGTTTTTCCTAGCCACCGTGCTTCTACATCTGCATTGCTTGCTGTTTGGGGTTTTAGGCTGGGTTTCTGTATAGCACTTTGTGACATCTGCTGATGTAAAAAGGGCTTTATAAATACATTTGATTGATTGATTGATTGATTGTTGGCCTTCATTTCATGGTATAGTTTGTATTTTGGTCTCAACCAAGTAAACATTGAAACCTCCATCAAGGTTTTTCTATTCAGAGTTTTTTCTGGCCATGGCCAACAGGTTTCACTGTTGCGTATCAAAACCTGCTGCCATACCACTATCTCTCCAACCCTCCCTCCCTCCTGACCAAGGCTCACTAAGCCGCTTATCTTTCCTGGACGCTTTTGAGTCTCTCTCTAAATTCATTAACCTCCACTGTGCCCCTGTCCCCATATACTCTCCTCGCACCCCTCTCCCACCTCTCCCCTCCCTCTCTCCCCCATCAGAACCGTATGGAGGAGAGCTTGGCTCTGTTCTACACCACCATCCACTCCCCTTGGTTCCTCAACACCTCCATCATCCTCTTCCTCAACAAGACAGACATCCTTGCTGATAAGATCCAGGCGTCCGACCTGCAGAAGTACTTCCCAGGGTTCACAGGTAGGTCTACACACACACACACACACACACACACACACACACACACACATCCCCTCCATCGAGGTAGATAATAGAAGTGTGATGATGGATGTAAACACATTGAATCACATCCTTTGGTGTTAGTTTTTCTTTCTCAGTGCGATGGAGTTGTAGCTAACTGTTGCTTCTGGCTGGAATAACAGAAACCTTATGACAGGGTTCCTCAACTGGCAGGTTTTTGTATTATTGTTGGACATGTAAAAATAATACTGCAAAAACACCAGCAAATTAGCTCCAAGTGATTTTAGTTTTGGAAATCTGTTCCAAAGTATTCCCACGCATAATAGTGAGATACTGTATACACTACCGTTCATAAGTTTGGGGTCACTTAGAAATGTCCTTGTTTTCGAAAGAAAAGCAATTTTTTTGTCCATTAAAATAACATCAAATTGTGCCGAAATCCAGTGTAGACATTGTTAATGTTGTAAATGGCTATTGTAGCTGGAAACGGCTGATTTTTAATGGAATATCTACATAGGCGTACAGAGGCCCATTATCAGCAACCATCAGTCCTGTGTTCCAATGGCACGTTGTGTTTGCTAATCCAAGTTTATCATTTTAAAAGGCTAATTGATCATTAGAAAATAATTTTGCAATTATATTAGCACAGCTGAAAACTGTTGTGCTGATTAAAGAAGCAATAAAACTGGCCTTCTTGAGACTAGTTGAGTATCTGGAGCATCAGCAATTGTGGGTTCGATTACAGACTCAAAATGGCCAGAAACAAATAACTTTCTTCTGAAACTCGTCAGTCTATTCTTATTCTGAGAAATTAAGGCTATTCCATGTGAGAAATTGCCAAGAAACTGAAGCTCTCGTACAACGCTGTGTACTACTCCCTTCACAGAACAGCGCAAACTGTCTCTAACCAGAATAGAAAGAGGAGTGGGAGGCCCCGGTGCACAACTGAGCAAGAGAACTAATACATTAGAGTGTCTAGTTTGAGAAACAGACGCCTCACAGGTCCTCAACTGGCAGCTTCATTAAATAGTACCCGCAAAACACCAGTCTCAACGTCAACAGTGAAGAGGTGACTCCGAGATGCTGACCTTCTAGGCAGAGTTGCAAAAAAAAATTACATATCTCAGACTGGCCAATAAAAAGAAAAGATTAGGATGGGCAAAAGAACACAGACACTGGACAGAGGAAGATTGGAAAAAAGTGTTATGGACAGACAAATCGAAGTTTGAGGTGTTCGGATCACAAAGAATAACATTTGTGAGACGCAGACCAAATGAAAAGATGCTGGAGGAGTGCAACCATAAATACCCTGCACTTTACCAAGCCATCACTCCTTCCTCCATAAACTCTCTGAATTGAATTTTGTCACATACACCAAATAGGTGCAGTGAAATGTGTTGTTTTACAGGGTCAGCCATAGTAGTGGAGCAAATTAGGTGTCATCGACAGATTTTTCACCTTGTCGGCTTGGGTATTCGAACCAGTGACCATTCGGTTATTAGCCCAACACTCTAACCGCCAGGCTACCTGACACCCTGAGGTTAGGTTCATCCATATTGGCAGTTTGATGTAAAGTTGCCATTTAAACTTGTTGCACTATAACGTTGCGATGGTAACATTATGTGATGGTTGCCTTTGTATGAAAAACCATTAAATATGTTCTATCTTGGCATTTTATCCTTTTCTTTTCATTTTTGTTTCTATTGGCCTCCAATTTCTCTTTCCCATTTACCCACATCCCCTGACCTCTTCTCTCCCCTCTCTCACTCTCCTCCCTCACTGTGGTTGTCTCCATCTCTTTCCTGTCCCCTGTCCTCCTCCTCACCCCACACCCGAAGGAAAGCGACGTGACGCTCAGGATGCTATGAAGTACATCCAGAAGATGTATGAGCAGCAGGCTCGCAGCCGGGACAAGGAGGAGAGCAAGACGCTGTACCCCCACTTCACCTGCGCCACCGACACCAACAACATCCGCAAGGTATTCAGTGACGTCAAGGACACTGTGCTCCTCAGGTCCCTCAGGGACTACGGGGTGATATGATGGGCCTAGGGGCCCTCCTGCCTGGGGAGCAACACTCACTCAACAACCACTCAGGGCTGAAGAGATTCTCCCCCCATCCCTCCCTCGCTCACTTTTCTCCTCTCTCTCCATCTCAGCACCAGTGGGGATGCTTTCTGGTCAAACCTTATTGTAGGAAGGAATCTCTCCTTGGGGTGCAGACAGAATGGACTCCTGTACACACACACACACACACACACACACACACACACACACACACACACACACACACTACAGGATCTGATCATTGTTTTTTTCCCCCTCTGGTTGTTATTGTATGATGTTGTGTGTAAGGGCTTGGAGATGCAGTGGCTCTACCAGTGCTTGAAACTGGACTAGAGATGTCCAGTTTCAAGTGATTACTTTGTGAGTGATGACTTTAACAGGTGGAGAGGAGAACTCTATAGCCCATGTGTATCACCAACCCCACCCTGTTGATAGAAAATGCCTCTGCTCTAGAGATCACTACAGAAGCTTCCACTCTATCAGTGCGTTGAATTAACGATACTGTACACGTGTTGTAGCCATTACATAACATAACACATTGCCAGTTTACACTTATGAGAAGGTGCCACCATAGAAGGCTTGTGTAACATTTTGTGTTTGGTTTGTCTTTTAATTGGTATGATTGGCACACTCGTATATTTCTCGCTGGATTCCAGTTGTGAGATGTGATGAAGGCGGGAAATGTGAGAGTCGATGGGTTCCCCTGACACAGTATGTTATGGAACGCAATGCTGTACTACACTGTTATGATTCTTGGTTTGGTTCATTGTGGATGTTCATGTTCAGTCTCTTCCCCTAATGCACTTGCCTTTACGACCAATCACTACCTGCTATACATTGAGTTCATATGGGAACAACAATGCCGGTGAATCAATACATTGACCAACAAATCAGAGTCCTTAAAGGGATAGTTCAATGTGTCATTTAGTAATTTGGGTGGTCTCCTTGCCCTGTAAGCAGTCTATGTACAAGGTATGACAGCAATCAATGCGTTGGTTTAGTTTCCCTGGCACTGTTTACAAATGCAAATGTTTTAGCATTTGTGGCATGACTTGAATCGGATTTGTGCCACAAATGCTAAAATGTTAGCATTTGGAAACCGTGCAAGGGAACTAAACCAAAGCATGGATTGCTGTCATACTGTATCTTGTACATAGACTGCTTACAGGATAAGGAAACTAATGTGTTATTTTGTAATTTGGGTGAAATATCCCTTTAAGAGCAGGAGCCAAGTACTGGGTTAATACTAGCTGGCAGGCATGCTGCTGTTAATGCTATTAGGTGGCTGAGGGAGGCCAGTTGAAACAAAAGCCTGGTATCCTGGGTGTTTTAAGTCTTGCTACTGTCTGATAGCTCCAAAAATCAACAGCACAGTTATGATGTGAATGGTGATAGGCTACAGCCCACGGTAGGGCTTTGATTTGAGCAGTGGAGTTTTCTGATCATCTCTTCGGGCTGCGCTGTGGAGTGTCTTCAAAGGTTACACAGCAAAAAAAGAATTGAATCATTGTGTTGATTATAAACAACTCTTTATTCATCGTTGGTTAGCACTTTTACTCTGGTCCCCATATCCATATTTATGTTCAGTCGATACTTAGCTCAGTAGGCTCTGGCTGTGCTCAAATTGTTACAAGTTCGGTAGGATTTTATATTGGATTTTATATTGGTGCAATTGAAGCGATATGGTCTCTATAAATATGAGTGTAATATCCATCTCAATATGTGTGAGTGGAGCAGGGTGGAGTCTGTCTGATAATACAGGTATTAATATTCTAACCTGTGTGCGTCACTAGAGTAGAGTGTGTGTGCGTGTCAGTGTGAGAGTGTGTGTGCGTGTCAGTGTGAGAGTGTGTGTGCGTGTGTGTGTGTGGAAAAGGACTTCAAAGTCAGATTAAAACCTCTTCCGTTTAATTGAAGTCAGTAATGACAAATTGCAGACATGGATCATATAGTGTAGTATGCATCTATTTTATCAAGGTTTGAGAATATTGGTTTGGTACAGTGTGAATAATGTGTACAGTATAAGGATTTGACCTGTGTTTTCTAACTTTTGACTAAAATTGTTTTTGTGTAAAGGATTTGGGTCTGAATGTGCAACTACTTTATAGCTATATATTGTATCTTCCCCTGCAGAACTGAACATAGGCACTGCTACCTGATGTAGTGAATTATTCACTTATTTTTATATTAGACGACCTCATTAACAGCTTCAGTGACTGGAAGTGTTGTATATCTTACAGACTTAAACATTAGGATAACTCTTCTTTGGTGCAAATATTTGTATAGATTTGGGAAGAATTTGGGGAAATATTTTCAAATTAGATTAAAATGATGTTTTGACAAAGATTCTGTTTTTGTGTTTTTCTTCAGGCTATGGTACTCATGGGAAATGTAGTGTACTGCTGCATAGCTTGCCTTGTTGATATAGCTTCCTGTGACTTATCACTCCAAGGAGGAGTGGCTTAGCTTACCCTGCTTTTTTTCAAATAGTCATATAGGATCTTTAACCTGCCATTTATCATTTCAGTAAATCCCTGTGTGCTTAAGGTGTGGCCCGAGAGAGAATCTGTAAGAGAGAGAACCTTTAAGGACAGGTGTGTGGGTCCACAAACAGACAGCTGGCTTTGGCAATAGAACTCAGGACCTTAGCCGTGGAAGCCAGCTTGTCTATTTGTCGATTTGGTTGAGGAGGAAATTAGCAAGAGTTTAACATCTTTTATGACAGACACTGTCTGTTCGCTTCTTCATACCATATCTGATGTTCTTCGATAATCTATTGTTATTACCTGCTTTTTGATGGTTGCTTACTTACTGCAATAGTGCAAGTCTGCCGCCACTCAAACCAAAAGTCTCCATAGGTGGAGAGGCTTATGACTACTTATGTAACGCATATCAGGTTTCCGATTTGTTATTGTTACACTAGTTAATGATGTCACAACAATTGCATGGTTGTGTTGTAAATAAGCCTGGGGCAGAGATACTGTATCTCTGAACACATTCATTTACATAAACAAATACTGTATCAATTATTTTCCAATCGTTTAGTTCTGAACAGAACCACTATTTCTTTTGTTCCGTACCACTCTTCTGACCAGCAAAATAAAGTTCTGAACCGGTTTGAACCCAAAAAAGTACAGGTTTATATCATTCCTTTCTGTTCCTTTTTGAACTGTGAAATCAACAGTGTTTTTACATTTAGGTCATTAAATGACTTCACCAATCAGTGTGGATGGAGCGGCTTGCTATGGAGCGTGCAAGCTACTTGTTTACATGCGTTATGGACAGACAAGTATAGGGCACGAGATGCGACTGACATTTTGCAGGTTGGGAGAGAGGGTGGAGGAGGAGTCTTGAAGCGCTGGGTATCTTGTTATGCAACCTGGTTTCAAAGCATTTTATATTATTCTGTATGTAAATCTGAGATACTCCATTTAGTATGACATGTTACGTTTCGTATGGTATGTATTAATTTGTGAATTTGTGAACCCATTTCGTATGATATACTACGAATAACAATTCGTATGATATTTTACTAATTTGCAAAATGTACAATATGTTACAAATTTGCAAAATGTACTATATGTTACGAATTTACAAAATGTACTATATGTTACGAATTTGCAATACGTGTGATATTTTATGAGTTCTAGCTAGGTGGCTTACCTTAGCTAGCTGGCTAATGTTAGCTAGGCTAGGGGTTAGGGGTTAGGGTTAAGGTCAGGACTAAGTTTAGGAGTTAGGTTAAAGGGTTAGAGTTAGAGTTAGGGGAAGGATTAGCTAAAAGGGTTAGAGTAAAGGGAACGGTTAACTAAAATGCTAAAGTTGTCCCTGATGTGATTCGAACTCGCAACGTTTGGGTTGCTAGACATTATAGGGTTAGGGGAAGGGTTAGCTGAAAGGGTTAAGGTTAGGGTTAGGGGAAGTGTTAGCTAACATGCAAAGTAGCTAAAAAGTTGTAAGTAGTTGAAATGTTTCAAATTAGCTAAAATGCTAAAGTTGTTCCTGTACCCAAGAAAGCAAAGGTAACTGAACTAAATGACTGTCGCCCCGTAGCACTCACCTCTGTCATCATGAAGTGCTTTGAGAGACTAATCAAGGATCATATCACCTCTACCTTACCTGTCACCCTAGACCCACTTCAATTTGCTTACCGCCCAGATCCACAGACGATGCACACTGCCCTATCCCATCTGGACAAGAGGAATAGCTATGTAAGAATGCTGTTCATTGACTATAGCTTAGCATTCAACATCATAGTACCCTCCAAGCTCATCATTAAGCTCGAGGCCCTGGGTCTGAACCCTGCCATGTGCAACTGGGTCCTGGACTTCCTGACGGGCCGCCCCCAGGTGGTGAAGGTAGGAAACAACATATCCACTTCGCTGATCCTCAACACTGGGGCCCCACAAGGGTGCGTGCTCAGCCCCCTCCTGTACTCCCTGTTCACCCATGACTGCATGGCCAAGCACGCCTCCAACTCAATCATCAAGTTTGCAGACGACACAACAGTAGTAGGCTTGATTACCAACAATGACGAGACAGCATACAGGGAGGAGGTGAGGGCTCTGGGAGTGTGGGGCCAGGGAAATAACCTCTCACTCAACATCAACAAAACAAAGGAGATGATCGTGGATTTCAGGAAACAGCAAAGGGTGCACCCCCCTATCCACATCGACGTGACCGCAGTGGAGAATGTGGAAAGCTTCAAGTTCCTGACAAACTGAAATGGTCCACCCACGCAGACAGTGTGGTGAAGAAGGTGCAACAGAGCCTCTTCAACCTCAGGAGGCTGAAGAAATTTGGCTTGGCCCTTAAAACACTCACCAACTTTTACAGATGCACAATTGAGAGCATCCTGTCAGGCTGTATCACCGCCTGGTATGGGAACTGCACCGCCCGCAACCGCAGGGCTCTCCAGAGGGTGGTGTGGTCTGCCGAACGCATTACCGGGGGCAAACTACCCGCCCTCCAGGACA